ACAACGTCGCACATGTCTGGTGCATGTCTCATGGTTGACGATATTTGGTACATCCATCCTCTAGCCCATTGCCTATGTCTGAGATATCTTCTTTTTGAGGTGTTCATTGAGTAGACTGCAGTGTTTTTGCACCTCGCGTTCATTATGTCCCGCCCCTCTCAAACCACGCGCCGATGGCTTCATTGGGATTGTATTGTGTATGGGGTACCATAGTTGCAACGATATGATGAAGGAACTTCAGGTTGAGAGTGCGTCTTCTGTTTCTACCCTCGCCCTTTATGCTCACTCCCTAACAGAAACCCATAACGCAACACCCTGAGAGACATGGTCTCCCGAGTATCCTGCTTGGTACGCCCAACGTATTCTGACCCCCACGTGGACATTTGATACAGGGTGAGTACCCTCCTGTGTTCTAGTGCTCTCACCAGTGCTGATAATTTACTTTTGGTGTACCAGGTTGCTCTCCCGCTGTGACATGTTGTTTTGCAGTGTGTTTACCTGCACAAGACATCAACGGCCATCTCTACAAGCATTGACTTTAGGAGCTAGCGGTGGGAAACCCAGGTACGTCCTTCATGACTTCCATTCAATTATAGTGCATGCTCCTGATTTGGTTCACATTAGAATTTGGCGGCATGGGCACAGGTGTAATTGCGGGAAGCTGTGGTGGATGCGGGAGCTACGTGTGGTCACCAGGATATTGTATTAGTATTTGTTTTGAATGTGAATTGAAATCATTATGTCTATATTTCGTAGACAGAATTAAAACAGTAACAAAAGCAGCAGGTCTGCAATCCGGCACTAGGCGCGCTGGGCAACCCTGCCGAGCGTTCCCTAGTGCTCCCTAGTGCTCCCTAGTGTTGGCGTGTTGCTAGCCAACCACTCCCTAGCACCGCATAGGGGGGATGTGCCTATGGCTGCTAGGGAGCTATGCAGCGCTATGGAGCGCTTGCCTAGCGCTGTCTAGCGAGGGTCGACTTTCCTGATGTACTACCAGCCGCCTTCTCGCCATAATTGATTTTTTTGGACCCTGCTTCTTGACCTTTTGTGGCACAAAGCCAATCGGACTGCCGCGGCCGTCATTTGGACAAGCGGGGGGTCTGAGTGCATGAATAGGTCGACATTTGCGCACATGACGATGGCGGAAATAAAGCGAGATGGCGTACTGCCGCTGAGTTCGAAATAATTGAGTGCATTGATTTGGTCACGCCTTATCCGTTTTCATAACCTCGGTCTCAGCTGTGTTGATTCAGGAAATGACAATTATCGTCAATCAACGTCAGGCATATTCAAAAAAATTCGTAAGTTTTAGATAGTTTTGTCACTGTTCAAATCTACACGTGATCAGTTCGCGTTGAGAAATCGACCAATCATATGCAAACAACGTGGTGTGCATCTATGATCACAAGCTAGAAGAAAACGTCAGCGAATGCAACGGTGGAAAGAAAGAGATGATAGTTACGCGGTGACTCCGACAGTTTCAATAGGCAGCCCGAACATGGTGAGGCCCGTGAATATGAAGATAGCCGCGCTGGCAAAGACAGGTCTGAGGAAAGAACAGTTGAATAATGACAAGAGAACGGAGGCGGGAACCATACCCATTAGGAGTCTTTCCTGCGTTACTGTAGACAGCGATGACTTGGAACGTAACAGCATCAGCACATGAGTGATATCGCTCTGGATGCATTCGACTGACTCGGAGCGAAGAGGCCAGTCACACGGCTGGCGGCAGCACAGAAGGCGTCGCCTGTTCCACGACGAGGAGTCGGGAAGATTTCCGGCGCATATCCGTACAACACCTATAGAAATGAGTTAAATTTAAAGTCATGTAGCTGAAACAGAATTAGTTCAGCACATACCCCGTAGAAGGCGTTCTCCCAGAAGCTCGCAATCGAAACCAAGGCGTTGACCTGCACTGATGTTTTCGCCTGACTAGGTAATACCACAGATGCGATGAGCGGGAGCAGAGCGGAAGAGCGAATGTACGGACGTGAGGGCGAAGAGGAAGACGCCGGACATGATCGTGAAGAATCTGCAAAGAAACAAAACAAATTTAGTTTCTGCTTTTTATTGTTTCGCGTGGAGGTATACTGACGCCATGGAGAATTTTCTCCCGGTGCGGGACCACTGAACCATGACGGCGGCGAGGATGGACCCTCCGACACCGCATACTGCTTGGTAGGTGTACGCAGCTTTGCAAACACAAAAAATTAGAAATCAGATATAGGACCGGGCGCGTGGCTTACAATAGGTCGCGTCAATACTGGTGTTGCCCGTGTCCGCTTCACGGGCCGCCAAGTAACCTCCCCTTAACGAAGATTAGATCAACGAACAGTATATATTTAAGTGCTGATATCGGTCACTCACAAGAACGCGTTGAATAGAGGGTATGCCAGGCCCAAAGCACCATCTGCGTGCATTTTGTCGGTGCGTTGAATTAAAGGACGGAAGCTCAAGAAAGTGCGCTTACAAATGAAAATGATGAGGGAGGATGAGTAGGCGAGGCGCGGAGTAGCGAACAACCCTTTGACATTCTCGCCGCTCAGGTCGTCGCTGGGACACATTGATCAACGTACCGAACTTCAACATGATACAAGAATACACTCACAAACTGTTTCGAATGAGGCCCCAAGTACTGAAGTGCGTGTCGGCAAGACTTGGGTCAGAGTTATTCGGGTCCAAGTACGGCGAGGCAGCATCACGGAGATCCTGAACAGTCAACTTCGAGGTCGTTCCATTCTTCTTGGCAATGCGGTGTATAACGTCCACGGCATCTTGGTCCCGGCCAATTCCTGTCGAGAATTTTTAGACTGAGAACTGTCTCTGTCGGCCAAACGGGACAAACCGACGAGGAATTTGGGCGACTCGTCCATGGGGAAGATGAAAATCCGGAGGAGACCCAAGAATACCATCATTGCGCCGAGAGTGTAGTACGAATCTAATAAAAATCATCAATTTGAATAAAATCAACCATGGGAGAAATTTACACCGCCACCCGTTGTTGTTCGTATTGTCGCATTGGTATAAACTGCCGTTTTGTAGGACAAGCTTGCCGACCAAAGTGGTGTCGCAGGAGTACCTATGTTAATTAGCGATGTGCCCGTCCTGGACATACTAATAACGCACTTGGCTAAAAATACCCAAGAAATCAGAGAACCTACGACCTGACCAACTGCCCACCACAAGGAAAGCAGAGTGAGGAGGTACTGGTGTTTTCCGGGAAGGAATTCCAAAAACAAGGCACCATCAACGGGCAGATTGCCTGTATTTCGGTACGAGTTGAATAATCGCAAATAAAGTTTGTGAAAGCTGTACCTCCGACACCAAAACCTGACCCTCATCATTAGTGTTTTTTACCGATAGTAGAAGTCAACACACCGATGCAAGCAAGCATGGCTTGAAGAAAGGGAGTATTCAGCGAAGTTGAGAGTAAAATTTAACTGGTACACACCGCATAGCGTGATAAAATTTGGCGAAGCGCCGGCACTAGTGAAAACGTGAACATGAGAATAGTCCAAATAGAAACAAGATGCGCACGCAACCCCGAATATTCCAGAGAGGAATAGAGTCGCGTTCCACGCTGTTCTCCTACCGATCACGTCGCATGTCATGCCCCAGAAAGTCGCCTAAGACGGGACGTAAGTATAGGATGCGCGCAGGATTCAGAAATCAATTACACCCGCGATCAAGCCACAGTAAAGGGCAAAGGTCGCCATACGGATGTTGCTCGAATAGTCCGGGAAGTTGTGCTGGGAAGATGGTTGGGTTTATAAATTTTTACATTATGAAGGGAACAAACTTGGTTTGCAATGGCAGGCATCAAAATAGCGATCGCTTGAAGCCATATATCTTCATCTGCGTCAGTAGAGTCCACTGTAGAGAACAGGCGAAAATGAAAACGATGCTCACTATCTGCGAACCAACTGATCGGGATGATGCATCACAATAAACTCGACATAAAATCACAAACACACTGACCCAAACCCTGCAAAATAATTTTCAAAGCGTTGTATACGCAAGAAATGAACAACGGCGCACCAGCACTGAAAAACAACTCCCACTAGGTGGTCACAGTCAGTCACACGATTACTTTCCGCCATCCTTTCGCCCCATTCCACGTGAATGTGCGGCGGTGGTCGACCACAGCAGCGGGAAACCCAGAAACCCACCTGGTACCTGTAGCAAGGATTAGTCGCGAACTGCGAGGAGACAGCTCTGGCACATACCGACCCAACCCACACTCCGCAATAGCGCCATTGAGAACTCTAACCCTACGGAGGATCAGCATATTTTCGTCTTTTCGCCAGCACACGACCCACTTGGCTAAGAAAATGGGCTTGATACCCTCCTCGTGAGCCTTGTCCAACAACGATTGGTCACTGCGGTTATCGGCAATTTTTTCTGCGGCGCCCTCGGGGACTTTTTCGTGATCGTGGTCGCTCATCGTCGGTCAAGATGAGAGCAGAGGACAAGAGGCAGTCGAAGCAAGCGAGCGATAGCCATCACTTTTTGTGGATATCAACATCGGGCCGACGCCACACGGTCCAACGACGCACGTTGCCAAGATTTGAGCGCGATCCACATTTCAATGATTTTTTTTCCCGTGCACTTGGGGGAGAATGCTGAATACCTCCACCGGTCCTCCTTGGCTCAACTCCCACTATGGCCATGGGGCCTTGTGGTCACCTGTGGGCCAAGTTTATTTCATCCCGCGCTTCCGACATCTATCTACCGACGTTCTGTGACCGACGGTTCGGAAGGACGCCGTTAGCCGATGACGTACGTACCGCGGGCTACATTCTCCACCGCATCAAATGCTCCGCTTGAAATTTAAAACCATCTCCACGATTGCCTGCTTCACTACAAATGGGTTTGTTAGCACCATGCGGAACGGCGTTTCCAAATCTGGTTATCAGTGATCATCGTGTGCCTCTCTTTGACGCCATTGAACCCCTACGGCCTTCCAACGCCCTGGATGCACTCCAGGACCAAACCTTCATGGGCGTATGGTGTAGTGGTATCACTCATGCTTTGCAAGATCTTATCATTTAACTTTGTATGCGGTCCAGGGTTCAAACCCCTGTGCGTCCAGCTTCCTTTTGGATTTTTTACTCCCTGACCACAAATTCTCCGGGCACTTGTTCACGGTTTCCTCCGGATGTTCTGTCGTAAAGCCACAACATGGAAGAGACAAGAGTTTTGTCGACGTAAACGAGAGATACTTCCACATTCTCGGCATTACACTTATGAACAGGCTTTCTTTCATCGAATATGACCGACATGGGTGTTGCTGATAACAAGGATACAACAGGCTTGAATAAGTTGAATGTCTAATAAATCTCTAACCTGGACGAGGAGTAGGAGGTGTTTCCTCGTCAAAAACGAGGGAAGTATGAGCCGCTATTGCGTTCTCACTCTCACCGCCGCTCGAAGTTGAAGTCGGGGCGGGGACCTCGCTGGGAGTACCCTCGACCGGCTTCATTGCGTCCGCCTCGTCGACTGCACTCCCAAACGTGCGCTCTAGGTCAGGCACATCGCTGAGCCACGCATGCTGGACGAGCTGACCGGCGCTCATGCGCGCGTCCGGATCCAGCCGCAGCATGGGAAGAAGGAACTCTGACATGGCCTCCGCTTCCGGTGGCGGGAAAAGGTACTTGTCATGCAGAACCGCCGGCAGCGGCCATGGTCGCAGGTTTGGGATATGGAGGAGTTTTCCTGGGGAGCCAAATCAGTGCTATGGTGTGTGGAATGAAATAAAGGCTTACCGTTAGGGTCGAAAAACTCTCCGCTCCATCGCCCGGACCTGCGTACATGGTCGGGAAGGTCCCCGAGCAGCTCAAGTATCTGCGCCATATGGTCGTCGTCCTTGGTATACTTCGGCTTACCGCCAGCACCTCTGGGCGCCTGAGCTGGATCGAACAGGTAATCCCCGCCTGTGATGAGCTCGAACAACTAGTCAAAAGATTGATTGAAATTCATGCTCTAGCAGAAACTTGGATTAGACCCACTAAGCAGGCGATGCTCCATATGTCCGCACTCGTCCCCCACGTTGTGGACCCAATTATGACTTCAGGACATCGATATTGCCGGGTCTGAATATCATTTGTGAAGTGGTGGTTCGTCCACGTCGCTGAGGGCAAACGATAAAGACACCGCTAAAGCGAGGTAAAGGGAGGCTGACCGTTCCCCATATCTGCGATCTTCACCGTAATCATCTCGTAGTCGGCCTCATCCACCACTTCCTCTACCCATCCTTCTTCACCTTCTACCTTCTCACCGCGACTGCCCAAATCAAGCGTCAGAGGCGGGTGGGAGGGGCCGGGAACAGGCACAGCAGTCATAGACGCCGGTGCGGATCTAGACATGGAGAGCGCGGACATGCCCAAATCGTCGCCGCTATCACTCTTCTCCTTCCCCTTGGATTTCGTATCGTCAGGAGAAATTTTGAGCATCCCAAGCCCCCACGTTTGCCCGGGAAGCTTCGATCGCCCACTGCTGGCGCTGCTCAGCGAAGAGAGGCTGACAAAGCTCCCGCTTGGACTGGTACTCGGCAGGGGCTGGCTTCCCGTTATATTGACGTTGACTTTGTGATGCCGTGGGCCCGGGGTCAGGTTGCCTCCGCGCCCAGAGGACGCCGGGACGCCTTTCAGTGTCGTCGGCGGGGGCATCTGATGCGATGTGGAGGCGGAGGAAGCGGAGGAGGGGAGGGTGAGCTCGGTCTGGATCACCGACTCAACCTCGGGGATATATATGAGGACGTTCTCTGGCTTGAGATCTACAGTGTGCGGATAAGGTGGAGCAGAAAGATCGATTTCGGAGCATCTCACCTGTATGTATGACCCCGCAACATCTGTGCATGTAATCCAGTCCCAGTAGGACCTGTTTGGCGATCTGCTTTACCAGCGGTATGGGGACGCCTTTATTCTTTGGTGTCCGGCATCGTATTGATACTCCGTGAAAACGCGTCTGGACGCACCTGGTTCCTCTTGATCAACCCGAGCAAATTCTCGCCCAAAACCTCGAACACCATGCATACATGCGTTCCATTGGGCCCCTGGTGTCTGAAGTGGTCGAGGAAAGAGATGACGTGAGATTTGCCTGGATGCGATACCGGGGTGTTGGGATCTGAAGATGTCACCAAGCGCTGGAGAAGCTTTATCTCATCCACCGCTGTCTCAGTGTATCGCGGCGCAGATTTGGCGATTTTGAGCGCAACATGCCGCTGCATCCTGCACATGTTAGTCACTGTGTCCAACGGCGCGGGGAGAAACCCACTTCTCGTCGCGTGCCAGCCAGACGGTCGAAAAGTGCCCCCATCCGAGCTTTCGGACGACGAGGTAGCGGTTATTAGAAAAGGAATCCCCTATTGAGACAGGATGGTAACCGCCCAGTTTGTATTCCTGCCAGTCCTCCTCGTCTTCAGCCATAGGGGCAGGCAGAGTGTAAGATGCTTGTTATCTTCGAAATACACCTTATCTCTGTGGCCCCGCTTGCAAAGCCGGTTCAACCATCAACGACTGATGATGTAATTTGCCCTGTCTCGTGAAAATGGGGCGGAAGAAGGAAATGAGAGGGTGCGTGGTGCATACAGAAAGTAGCGAGGCCAAACGAGAGGTCAAAGCGCAGTTCAGGGTCCGTCCTGTTGCTGAAAGTACAATCGGCAGGATCGGCATCAAGTTCTTCGAATTGACCGGGAGTGATCGGTGATCAGGTCAAATACCCTTAGCACTCGGGCCGATAATGAACTCACACGAAGATCCGATAGCTGAAAAAATTAAAATTGGTGAATCCCGAGGAAGTAAGCCACGCACTTCAAGCGGCAAAACACATGACAGTGCCAAATGTTTAGCAAATTACGTTGTATTCGAAACGTCAAGTTGAACGACTAGAATTGAACCTGGACGTCGGCGTTCGATCGCGACCGACCCACGGTTGAATGCGTTCAAACATGGCAAGACTTGCACTCACAGTTTGAATCGCAAAATTTGTCCGCCGTTTTCCAACTAGCCACCATTGTGTTACCAAAGGACCACGCAGCAAGAATACCGAGGTTTCGCCGAAAGCGCTCAATTTTTGCGCAGTATCGGCCGCAAAGCATATCTATCATTTTTGAACTGCCTTTGAGCACGCAAATGTTGAATGAACTCACCCATTCTGTGACCTGTTACCAAGTGCAACAAGATTTGAGAAGATTAAATGGACACGAGGAGGAACTTGAAGCATGACCGAAAAAGGAACATCAAGGGATCGATCTACTGGCATCAGAGCGGAAAATCGTGAGCTCGATCTCGCCCACGACCTGTCTGCGTCAGAATCTTAAAACAGATGCTAATCTGACCTATAATAAAGGAGAAAAGAACTCGCTTTTTGAATTTTGAGCTGAGTATTTGGCTGATCGAACGCACCTCGGCTTTGAGAGAGCTATTTGGGCCGGAAGTTGCATTCCCATCCAAGCTAAAATCACCATCCGTCGCGAATGCCTAGAGGCCATTCGTCATGCCGACATTTGTACACCTTTTCGAACGTTTTCTGGGGGGCACGTACAAGGGAACGTGTAAATCAAATAAACGAACGGTAAAAGGATTTAATTAGATTGAGAACAACCGAGTCTCCCGCACCCAGCCAAATGGACTCGGGAAAAGACACACAGATGACCCAGTCGCGTTAGTTGCGTTTCCTGACTCTTGAGGCACTAGTCGGAATAAGAGTATGTACTATGAAGCGGCAGCGATCCACCTCAGAGTCGAGAAGTCGCTGTGAAGGCTTTTTCCAGTGCTGAAGTGGAAATGTATGTGGTGGCAAGAGTAAAGGAAGAAGAGGCAACTTTTAGCAAAGTTTGCGCGATGATCGTGATTTGCCGCGGCGATCACATGTCGATTGTTCGTCGCGGCTCTCCAAATGACTGCCGTGGCTTTTGGCACTCGGCGCTTTATACGGCAGGCCAGCCACGAGATCAAAGAATCCGTCTGCACACATGGTTACGGGCTTCCTATTGGCTGCTCGACAGCCTAGGATGGGCTCAACAGCGCTGGATGTACTCCCCGCTCTTCGGCGCGAGAGGAAGTGGAATGCCGTCCAGTGCCGAAATCCTCAGCCAGATTCCTTTTTTCGTTTCCGTCGTGACCTTGGGTTTTCACCCAAGTTTGAGAAGTCTGCAAAACGCGAATGTCGCCTTAGTGGAGCCCGGATCCGGCGGAATTGTAGCACTGTGTTGAACTTAAACGGAGGTCAAAAATGATTAGATGATTGGATCGTGCTATGATGATCATAGCAAAGGATCATAGGACTGCTATCCAAGAGGCGTCTAGCCGAGCACACCATCAACTTCACGTGCTCGAAGGGCACCTTCCATATCGGGCTCTGTCTCCTTTTGGATGTCTCGCTGATGTTGCATTCCTAGACTTTATGTACGACGTATGGTTCAATAAAACAAGGAAATATTTACATGCAGTGTATAGATGTGTGAGTATGTCAGGGAATTTTTATGGAAGCTTCTGTACTGTAATAATTAATAAACAAACTTCCCAACTTTCAATGCATGCACTATGCACAGGTCTCTCAAAGTCCTTGGACTTGCTCCTTTATTGAATGGTTTGAAGCAGTTCGGACACTTCAGCGGCTCTGGGGGATTCGAGCTGCCAAGGTTAACTGCCGTCCATGAATCCGCAGTGATTGTCCTGGCTGAATGTGATGGCGGCGGGCAGAGTATGATTGAAAGGACACATTCTGGGGTATTGGGATGTACAGATTTCATTTATGTGGGTATTATTGACACTATTTACATGGGGTTTGTTGGTAGTTCACGGTGGCTCTGTTGCGCGCGTTGCCGAGTGGATTTCAGAGAGTTCAAGAGTAGCGACACGTGCCTGCCACTCCCTATCAGCAGGTTGGGTGCCAGGGAACCAGTAGACATGTCGCAGGCTGGACGGGACACGTCGCAGCTTGTGGTCGCGTTGTGGGAGAGTGAGAATGCTGTGACATCAACACCCCGAAGGTGCCCTTCGAGCACGTGAAGTTGATGGTGTGCTCGGCTAGCGAATCGGACGCCTCTTGCTCCTATCGTTGATTTGGAGAAACTTGAACGGTCCTGT